GGGGGGGGGGGCGGAGCACAAATAAAGATGTACATTGCATTCAAACTTCACTCACACAGCTTTATCAACGCGTGGTCGAAAGTCTTAATTTGAACTGGGTCGGTTTCATCGCCGGGTAAAAATTCATCGTTATCTCTAAATTTTGATTCCCTCCCTCTTTTTCAGAAGCATGAATTCACACTCCAACTTTATGTTGGTTGCATTATTATCTGCTCAACAATCATACTTTTTTTAAGAATAAAATTAAGAAGACGCAAAATTGTGTATGTGCACTGTGCAGCCAACGTGACTCGCACGGCTAATTATTTTTCATCACACAAACCTTTTTAATTTTCTTCATTCCGTATCGTGTAAAAAAAGTTAGACTGTTGCAGATAAATTTGTAAAAATGCTTGTGGCGATTATTCTGTTTGCGACTGCTAAAGCGTAAAACCACGTATCCTCGATTGAGACGTTGAAAATTTCCTGTCATACTTCATTATTTCTTTGGGAAACTATTGAACATAATTTCTCGAAAACTTACTTGATTTTTCTCCTCCCATGCCAGAATATTCTGTATGAATTTCAAGCTTTGAAGTTGGCAAGCCCCCCTTCCAGAAACGTAAAATATGAGGGGAAATGTTGAAACATTGCGATTAAGAGACGTGGTTTTGCACTTTGTCCATCAAAATGCATCATCAATGAGACTGAGTTAGTATAAGAAAATCAGCAATTTACAATACAACGTGTTAAGACGCGATATTGAATGATGTACCAAGCTGATGAGACTGGGGTTCTACCGAGCTAAGGAAGAACGCCGTAGGAAAATTTGAGAGTTGCCAAATTTCCTTCGATTAAATGTTTATTTTTACGGTAGGTTATGAATATTTTTCCTCAAAATTTCCAGAAACTTCAGGTAAAATTGCAAACAAAATTATCTGGAAAATTAGAAGGAAAATATTCATAAGTTTACCAGGAAATTCGTGTTTTATCAAAGGAAATTTAGTAACGCCTGAAGGTTTATGCGACGTTCGTCCTTAGCACGGCAGTGTCATACCCATTATAAAATATGGGCAATGTGTAACCATTGATCCTCAGAGGTTCCGGAGCAGTGGGTACAATCAAACCTGTAATAAATGCCTTAAGAAGACAAATACATGGCCAAAATTGTTTTCATACGTTGTAAATTCAAGGCATCTGATACTCAGGGTAATTACACTGAAAAAGAGCTCTAGAATAGGGGACCATCTTACGTAAATATGCAATTTATTCTACATGTTTTTTTTAATATATAAATTCTTATCAAATTATTTTACTGATAATATGGTTATAAAGTATAAAACGCAGCCATGATACAGTGAATTTCATGGTGAACTTGACTGTATGTCTTATATAGAGAACTTGCACAAAATTCACATGAGCACAAAAAACGGTTTCCACATTCATTTAAAATCTTGCGGATTATTTTACGGTCAGCTTTTAAGGTTCTGGTGTGATTTCCGACGTAAGAATTTAACATTTACGTCCTTTTGAGATCGAATGACGAGGGAAAAACTTATATTTAAATCTTCGAGCCCATGCTCGGACTCTAGTCGAAATTCGCGTAAAATATAGGATAGCACCACTTTTTCTTCCATCAACGCAAATTTCTGACCTAAAAACAGAGATGAAGCATGAACCATCAGAATATGTTGAATCTCTGGATAAAATAAAAGTTCAATGAAAACAAAATACTGACGAAAGTATCACTAGCCTGGATGACAAAAAGTTAAGTATGACCCCTTAGCATTTTCTAACGCTGCTGCATGAGTTTGAGAGTTACATTATTATAAAGCCGATGCATGAAAAAGAATAACCTAAATTTACTTTCGATTTTTTGTGTCTGATAGAACAGAGAGAATTGTATTTCTGGATGGTTAACGGGGCTGTTTTTACCTTTTCTTCGCTGCTTAAGCAAAAAATGACGTTACTTTTTCCCATCATCTACTAACTAAATGGTCAATTGAATTTTCCCAAAATCGCTATTTCAGAGATTGGTGAAAAACTCCTCAAAATATTCAATTATTGATAGATGGAAAATACACTTTCGGTTCACATTTTTTAGTTTTGAAAATCCATATTGCGTTATTTACGCACTGTTCAAAGTCCAAATCCTAAATATTCAAAATACTATATTAATTTTAATAATTTTAGCCCAAACAAACACTGCTTATTTGAAAAAAAAACCAAAACAGAATATATCTCTAATGCCTATTAGATGCCTCTCAAGTTGCCCGCTCGAAGAATTGAAGGCATTTTTTGTTGATGGGACGAACTTGACCTACCTCTCGTTCCTACTTCTTTGCTAATCACATTTTGAAGTCTGTTTGTAATGCTGCGCCTACACATCAAAATGGCGACATCGCATTACAAAATTGTAATAGTTCACGTTAAAGTGTTTGATGAATTTATTTCACAGTTTTCCTGTTAATTTTCCTCTAAAATGAACGATTGGGAAAAAATCGATTTGTATGTTAGAAAATCTGCCACCTTGCGACGTCATCGAGTTGCATCACTGTGATTACAGTGGATTAGATCATTCTGTAATGAAAATCGCTAGAAACGCTACCAACGAAAAGTGTAAGAATAAAAGTACCTATGCAGTTCCTGGGTCCTGCAGCGAACGGAACGTAGGCGTAAGGATGGCGACCCGCACTTTTTTCCGGACTAAAATGATCCGGATCGAACTTTTCCGGATCTGGAAACACCTTCGGGTCTCGGTGGAGGTTGTACACGTTAAATGATAAAACAGTGCCTTTTGGAACGGTGTAATCACCTTGTTGGAGAAACAGGAGCAAGTTAACCACAAGAATAAGAAATAACTCAGCGATGGGCTTATTGCAAACTTTTGCTAGAGCAGAAATAAGAGTTGCTCCTAACATAAAATGGCTCAAAAATCACCGCGAGTGCATCAAAAATGTCTGAAGTACACTCCTAGCTCCACAATTTGCGTAAGAAATTCACGTTTTTTTGAGCTTCCCGCTTCAAAAACAATACTACGGCACAGATGAACATTTCGTTAGTCGTTCCTTCATATCTCTGTGCAACAGGATACTGCACAATTTTCAACATGGCCGACGCCAATCCGCCAAAACTCATGTGCCGGGACGAAACTCTATAGCCATTTATTAACAACCTGATGAGTTCACATTTACGTTTTCCTCGCGTTGGTAAAGATCCGTCTTGATGGCGTCGGTTATGTTGGGTATTGCAAAACATCCTAGCACGCAAGGGTTGAATGAAACGACTCCTCTAACGAAATGTGCACCTGTGCCGTAGTATCGTTTTTGAAGCGGGGAGCTCAAAAAAAACCGTGAATTTCTTACGCAGATTGTGAATTTAAGAGTGCATTTCAGACTTTGTTGATGCGCTCACCGTGATTTTTGAGCCATTTTCTATATAAGGAACAGCCTATATTTTTTCTCTAGCAAAAGTTTGCAACATGCCCATTAAATTGTCTTTATTTTCATCTCCTAAAGTTATGTCAAAGGAAAAGAGGTATGATCTTGAACAATTCAATTCATTGATTGATTGGTACTCGATATACTTGTCCACGTGTTGGTGTCATATGATTCATCCACGATATATCAATCCTTTTTTTATCTTTTGATTATTTAATTTTTCTTTTATTTTTCCTCTTATAATTGATTTTTTTCTCTTAGCTCATCTTCTCACAAATTTCGGATCAAGAAATTATTTGTCTTTCAATAATTTAAATTTTGACGGTTAGAGACCAATGGTGAACCTAATTTTTTTTTTTTTCTTTTTTTTTTCTTTTTGGAGATATGTACGCAAGTGGCACTTATACTTCCAAATAGAATGAATGACAAGATTTGAAAAGAGTAAGTTTATCCCTATGTAGTCACTTATATGACGAATTGAGATGTAGAAGATGCAGATGGTTCCACCGTAAGGGAAAGACCACTCAGCCACACTCCCAACTTTTGGTTAAATGGAGGTATGGAAAAACAATAGCACCAATTTTTCTTTTCGGTGGTGGAACAAAACTTACCAAATTTTACATCTTCGGTAGCCTCTCTTCCTATAAAAGGAACACTGGGGAACAAACGCAGACTTTCTTTGATTACTTGCTCGAGATACTTCATTTTTTGTAAATCTGCCACCGTAGGAGTCCTGTTTGATCCTTGAAAAATATCCGAAAGTTCTCGGTGGCATTTTTCCTACCAAAAGAGAGAAACGTTAAAAAATTGATTGAAATACGCAAAATAATTGAGGTTTCCCTTTTTTTTTTATTAAAAGCAACTTAATTTTACGTGGTTCGAGTTTCTGAATCGTTGCATTTAAGATATATATCATCGCTTTAATCAATCGTAAAAACCGGAAAAAAATCAGAAGCGTTTAACTGATTTCAAACGAAATCAAAGAAAATTTCGACTCGGCGTTTTCGATCATTCTATTTTTTTTATTATTTTCATCAACGAAAAAACTAAACATCGTTCGAATTTCTGAGTCCCTGTAATCAGAAGCGGCCGGGGTAATTATATTTTCACCGGAAAACTTACAGGATTGCAAAATCTCTACAATCCTGTGATCCTAGAATTGCGAGCTTGCGGTGTACACTGTTCGGAAATCGTGTACACCGGGGTAGGTTCGACACCAAGAAAAGAAGACTTTTCAACGACTTGAGCGCTCACCGTGGGATACGCGCAATGCAAGAAGTATCCTGCAGACATGTACGGCGCTATGCGTTGCGCGCACCGTGCTGTGCGCGCAATGCATGAAGTATCCGGCGTTCTTGTAAGGCGCTATCACGCAATTTGCGCCGCGCCGGTCGCACTGTGTTTGGTGCGATTATTCAGACTTGCGGCGTTACCAGTTTTCATCTTAGAATTTTGAAGTTTTTGTAAAGTTTGTTGGAATTATTGCCATTTCAAATGATAAAACGTTACATAAAACTCAACGTTTTTCTTCTCTTCATTTACATATTTGCAAAAATGATTTTAAATAGAAGCATGAAAGTGAAGCGACTTTTATGTGTAGGCTCCCGCGTTGCTCAGCAATGTAATGGCGTGATCACTTAGACTACATCTTATTCAGAACCACAATTTCTGGCTAATCTGTAAAAACTCTTGTGTGCATAAGGAAACTAACGGTACATACGTTGTTCCTAAACGAAATCAGAAATTGTGATTCCTAATTACAAAACGATTTTAATTTGATTAATGAACCCTTTCGCAGCGTAGGGTATGGATTCGATCGAAATAAGTCGATCGGAAAATAAAAAGAAGAAATCCTATTTAAGCGAACCAAAATTCAACAGAAAACTTGATTGGAGATGAGAGAAACGAGAAATAAGAAACGGAAGAAGAAAATAATAAATACCTGAATTTCTGGATGATTTCCTAAAAGAAATAAAGTGTAACCCATTGAGACTGCTGTTGTATCATGGCCCTAAAAGAGTATTTAACAATAAATATGAGTCTTTATGAAAAAAAAAAGCTTAACAGATTGGCGTAAAAAAACAAAGGTTTAAATCATACAAAGTGTGTTTTTCAAGATAAAAATAAAATAAAATAAAAAATAAAAAAACGGGAACAAGGCGCTGAAATGAAGAATTCTGACGTTTTGACCGACAATTTTCCATCGTTCCTCAATCTGACTAAAATACGAACATTTTGCAGTTTTACGTATTCCAGCCGCTGCATGATTGTTTAGGATCAAAAATTCCTACGAGCCAAAAAAGGAGCTTCAGTGTTCAGAGGTTTTAAGACGACAGTACAATTGAAGAATATGGTTGAAGTATGAGTAATTTGTGTATTTTAAACTACGCATAATTATAGTATAATATAATTAGACTACATATAATTATTAAATCCTAATTTTCTGCTGAGTTTTTTAACAAGCACTATACGTATCTTTGAACCTTAATCTCTTTGAAATATTGCAATTTTGATCTCTTAACGTAAATCTTTAGTGTCTTAGTATGTTGGCTTTTTCGACATGATTTATATTATAGTGGTATCACACAACTTACCTCAAACATGAAAGTATTCACTTCATCCCTTAAATCCTCGTCCGTTAAACTAACAGACTGTTTCTCACATGCCTCCAACAAGAGGTCAAGAAAAGCCATTTTCTGAGATCCTAAAAATATGAAAATTAATTAAGAGGTAAACATGCTTTAACTCTCAATTCTTTGAACGCCAGGCGTTGATTTTATTAAAATCTACCAAAAACCAAAATCAAATTAGGTCAAGTTGATAATTAAGCACAGGGTGATGTGTGCGCAGATAATCAATATTTGATTCGGCTGAATACTGCAGTGGCGCAAGGAATTCTTACAGGGCTTAGGTATACTTTTTCCACGTAAAATTCCATGAAAAAACCAAACATCTCATGAAAAAGTTCAAAATCGGAGGTTTGAGCGGAAAGAGGCTGATCAGAACCTGACCAATCGATTGCTGAGAGAGGAGTTGACGTTGAAGTAGTCAGCCAATTAGCAAACGCCCCCTTCCCATTTCGGTTAATTCATCGGAGTCCGCCAATAATATCGTTTCAAACAGGTCCTATTTTTTGGATGTAAGTCAAAGTTTTGTGAAAATCGTAAAATTATATTATCATCATAAGTATGCAAAGGTTAGTGAGTTTTTGAACTTCAATCTCTTTCAAATTCGTGGTTCATATTCTAAAATCCAAAGAAAAAGAATGAGACGTTCTAAGTTTGTAGCACGTACAATATAAATTTTAACTTGTCTTAGTGCCGCTTCTGCGATAATAAATTCGATCAAACTACACCACAAGATGGATGAGAAAAATGATCTCCACGCACCTTCGAGCTCTTCAATCCTCTGCTTCCACTTTCCTTCTTTTTTGCCTCTTATATTCCTCCTTTGTTTAATGGCCTATAAAAAAAATAAATAAATAAATGTCATTGCATGTCTAAAAGACGACCCCATATATGTACATAGAAGACAAAGGCGAAGCGAATAAAAGTGGAGAAACATAAATTACATACTTTTCGAGCCGTTTGAATCCTATTGCTCAGGCATTTGAATTACTGGCTCAGCTCAGCTTAATTTAATTGAACTTTATGCTGGCTTCCAATGATTGTTGTGATAAAACATAAGACCTTTTGAAGGCGAAAAAGAGAAGAAAAAAAGAATCAGGAGAAGTAGTAGAAGTAGAAGAAGAAGAAGAAGAGGAAAAGGAAAATAAATTAAAGGAAGAAGATCGTTTTCTTCGTCTTTCCTTTCCTTTCAATTTTGTCTTTTTCATTGTCTTTCTCTGCCACTCCCTTTTCCTATCTTTCTCCTCTTCCCCATCTCTTTCTTCATCCTCCTTCTTTTCAGTGTTTTCCTTTTTGTATTCCGATCTCGATTGGATTGGACCTAAAAGAACCCGGTCGGTACTTCTAGCATTGAGTTCGAGTAATTCGATAGGGAGAGTATGGACATGCATGACGTCTCAAGGAGGCTTTACAGGACCTAAAAATTACGGTGCTTTAATTCGGTTTTTAATTGTGGGAATGGGGTTTTTGCCAACACTGTTGACGGTTATCAACTGTCACACGCGCTGCCAACTTCACAATATGCAAGGTCAGTTTTCTCAAAAATAGCACACTACTGGCCGTAAAACCATGTAAGCAAGTCATAATTATGCATTACAGTAAAGGTCCCGCTGCAACATGCAAATAAAACCACATCTTAGGTCATTTTGTATTTACAAGTGCTCACAACGTCTGCAATTTTTGGGCCTTAAGAGTTCCATTAAGCTGAAATGAAGTGGCCAATCATGAGCAGCCCCTTCTAGCGATGCTCCTCCCATAAAATTACTCTGTACATCGACTTAATGTCATGAATTATGGCTATTTTGACCAAGATAAGTCCATGTTTTATGACTCGACTAGTGCTTCTGGTACAAATTCTTTAAACATCTTACATATCATGCAAGGCAAGGCTAAGCCGGTTTTCTTTGCTTTCATTATTTACTTCTTGCTAATTGCAGCAATATTTAATTGTATTTGGTTATTTTGAGACTTGGGGTCTTTTTACGAGTTCTACAGTATGGAGTCTGAAACTTACCTTATCAGTAAGCTCGAAAATTGTATTCAAATCCGCCCAATGTTTTCGACCGGTGGGCGACAGGAAGAAAAGTAAATCATTGAATAACCAGGGTCTCGTCAGTCTCGTCATGACAATGTCAGTGCAACTAAAACAAATTAATAGAAAGATTTCGATGCACGTGTTTAGCGTGTTTGATTTAAAATATCGGTGGTGAAAGTGCAGAAGTGCATATCTCAACTTTTGACAGTCTTGAGTTACACTGAAAAAATACTATGCTGTTTTAGCACCTAGTATGTTAAAAATGTGTCTGGTGATCTCAAAATGCTGCCTTAACTGCCTATAGAGTTAAATTTGCATTCACAGGATGTAAAGTTAACTGCGAGGGCAGTAAGGACAACAACTCCGGATCACCAGACACATTTTTAACATCCTAGGTGCTAAAACAGCATATTATTTTTTTCGGTGTAGCTGCATGAACGTGTTGTTGAAGTTGTCGTCTATCCGCCAGCAAGAAATTATAATGGACAAAAATCGGGAAGTCACCTAACACCATAGAGCTTTATTCGCGTATCTCGAGCTTAAGTGCAGAAATGCGTATCTCGTTCTGGCCCCTTCATTCAATCCGGCACGCCTTACGCACAACGTGCTCTCCTCAGTGTTCCCCGCCTACAGCATACGTAAGCTGATCAGCTGTTCTATGTTTTTATATATATTTTCGGAAATTCCCTGGTTTTGAAAAGTTGCTAAATGCTCATCTCTCGAAGGCTCTCCAGTGTCATCTCTTCACAGGTACCTAATACTAGCCGCGCGCAGCGTTCATGCCCATTATTCACTCACTGGGCCAATGATATCATGAACTGACGATTCATTACAACAGTTACTTGTATTAGAGTCAATCGAGTCACACAATGCTTCATCTACCTTGGAGGTTCAACCCAAGGGTCAAAAGTGTGATTTTCTCGTTTCAAACGGAACTGAGCGCCATAGAAAAGCATTACGATGAGTATAGGACGAAACACCCGCCAATCCAAGCCCCCCTCTCCCATCCTACCCCTATGTGGCGCTTAGTTCCGTTTGATAGAAATACGTTCAATTCACTACATGATTGCAATGTTTTTCATCACAATACATTCATTGTTTATTTGGTGTTTTAACTGAAATAAGAAAAACAAACATATTGCTTACTCGTCAATGGCACGAATGTAGCTGTGATTTGGATGATTTAATGCATCAATTGTGATTCCCATAGCAGTCTCTGTGAAAATAAAAATAAAATTATTGATTTATTCATTTAAAGATGACGCACTTGAAAATGCATGGTATTTGGTGTTAAAGGCCTGTGTCACAATATCAAAACTAGCCATCAAAATATCAAGGTCAGGTGTTGTGATTGGCTTATTCGATGACTTGGACCAATCACAGCACTTGACCTTGACATTTTGATGGAGTATTTTGATAGTGTGACACAGACAAAAGAGACCACCAAAGTCAGAGGAATCACCCATAAGATAGAAATGCTTGATTTATACTTTACTTATATCCCGGAACAAATTGATTACACGAAACAAATGTGGTTTGATGAGTTTTCAATTGATTTTTAGATATAAAATTTAATCGAATAACCGCAAAAATTGGAAAATTAGTCGTTTTGTTTTATTTTGTTTTTTTTGGTTGCTTTTTCCTTCTTCTTTTTCCTTTTGGCCCTACAATTTCTCCTCTTGCGGACGATTAAAAATATGAATTAAATACCGCAGATGTTGTCCAAGGCAACGAGTTTCATCTGTGTCATCACCTCGACGAGTGCTCCGTCCGGAGTCTGACGCAATTGATCGATGAGTGTAAGCGTATTTTTAACGAATACCTCGCAGAAATTGCTCAAAATGGAGAAATGGAAAGCGGGAGTTATCAGTTTCCTGCGTTGATGCCACCGCTGACCTGAAAAATAGGTGAACTTGCATTTTAATAGAAAAAAAATTCGGGGAAAAAACACCAGGATCAACATTTTATTACATATTACGTGTTTGTAGACGATTCATCAGGTATGTTCTGTTAATAGAAACTCAACTTTGAATTTTTATGGACTAACGTCCTCCTCCCGTAAAAATAGTCATCTGGAATAAAAAAAAAAATTAAAATTTCTCTCTTTGAAATGCAAACTTCCTCTTTAGAGAACATATTTCTTACAATTTATCGCTTAGGTGCAATACTCATAAGTGACGTTGAAAGAGTGTCATACTTTCCTCATTCAATATTATTTACGCAAGGAATTTGCACGTACCTCTACTTGTCAGTAGCCCAAGACCTAGCCATACATGAAGAATGCGGTAAAGGTCAGTTTTGATCTCCGTACATTTTGATGTAAATAATACCTGGAAAGTAATCAAAATCCTCTTAGAAGTTGGTCATTTGTTCTTCTTTTTTCTTGAAATGTGCGTAATCAGTTGAAAAGAATAATCAGAACTTCGTGATCAAAAGGTTTTAAGATACAGTATGTACAGGAACGTTTGTATTGGGGTAAACAATTTTTAAGATTCTAAAAACCTTTTTTTGTCGGGAACCGTGCAGTTCTTTGAAGATTTCTCATGATACTCATCTTGATCCTGATATATCTTGAGAACGGGTCTATAAACCGGGACCTCCGGAAGAAAATCTTGCCTAACTTTTTTTCAACTGAATAGAGGAAGAAAACCTGGAAATTTTGGCTCGAGTTTGCTCCTCACCGCTTAAAAACTGATCCATACTTTTTATATATTGTTCCTCGACCTCCCTTCCCTTGGTAACTAAAATCTAAAAGTCCGCCATGTGTAGGCTAATTGTAAGCTATTTGCCTTAATGTACGAAACTCGAATACACGAGAAGATTCCACACAGAGTTAGTTTCGCAACCTTTTCTTGCAACTCTGAATACACATACCTCAACATATTTTGCCTCTGCAAGCCAAACAGCCGGAAGCAATCCAGGTACCCATAGACGGTATATACCTCCGAATTTCTTAAATTCCTCGTATTTAACAGTTGGCAGCTCTGAAATTGAGCAATATTGCATTGCATTACTCAGGCATGCACTAAGACAAAAGTTCAGTAAAAGGATCTGGACTTCGGTTCAAATTAAACACCGGGGTTTCCTGATTCAGGTAACTGAAGGTTTGGGTCCCAGAAACAAAACTTTGGTTGCTATGAAATCAACTTCAGTCACCTAAACCGAAAAATTTTGGTGCTGCGGATTTGAACGTATCTTAGAAATTTTAACCCCCTATAGCATGAATGAATTTTAAAACATGGATTTAAAATAAAACTTTTTTTTCTGAAAGATCTTTGAAAAAAATTGAGTCTCAATTTTTTTTGAGAAAGGGAGGCTCCTCCCTTCCTCCCCCTCCCCTATTGAACTAATGTCCGTGCAACTTTTATAAAAAAAACATAAAAACAGAGGTTACATACAAATGAAAACCCCTCAAACAAGAGATGTTGCGTAAAATACATGAATAAATACATTTTCTTTTTAAAAGAAGAAGAAAATATTAGTCTCAGCAGAGATTAGATATTAGAAGAAAATGTTTTTTCTAGCATAAATCAAATTATAGGTGAATATTATCAGTTATTATTATTTGGAAAAATTGATTTTTAGCCTAATTAAGCAACACTGGAGTGGGTCCCGCCATTTTATCCAATAGAATTTAACCTTGGGCTTACACGGGTTCATTCAAAAACATTGTTGCGCTAGCACAGAATTTTTAAGAAAAGAAATTTCGTAAAATTATACACTTGTGTACATATGCAATAGAGAGATAAGACCAAAAATAAAAAATAATAATACTATGAGCCGAAGTCATCGATTAGCTCCGATAATAGAATATATTTATTTGTATTTTATTGTGTTGCACTATTATACTTCAGTAAGGATCCAGAGGAGCACAAAGCACAGAAATATTAAATAGATAAAGCGAATGGTAGTAAATAACACTTACCTTCATTAGGTATCACTACCTCATCTACATGTCCACAAATTTTGCTTTTTAGCGGTGGGCCCGGAATTTTTTCTATGAGCCGCCACTGTCTGAATACCGTGAGAAATATCTGAGCAAGTCTGATCACAAGGTAACAACACAGAGCAAGAAACACAAGAAGACGAATCATTTTGAATATGATCGGACGGGAATCACTTTGATTTCCTACAATAAATCATTCATTTCAAAACATGTACACAAAAAACTATGTTTTCATTTTCAAAACAAAAACCCGTGAAAAACTTTCTCATACTCATCAGGATATTAATTCAGCTATCCAAATTGGTAGTGACTCATATTTATCCATAGGGTAGAGCTATGTGTTGGAATCCTCACTCTACCAAATATGTATCATAAAATTTCACAGAATGATTGCTTTCTAGTGTCGTTTTAAAATACTTTCAATCAATTGACGACTGAGAGTTCCTAAACCGAGTATGTTAAAATACATGGATGCTATTTGCGGAAACTGGGTGGGTTTGATTTTCAGCCTCAAGGAAGCAGATCATATTTACCCGTGAAGAAGGCAAACTATGATGTGTGTTATTAGTACTGAGCGAGCGTTTATTTGATAGTGATACTCAATATGATATTAATTAATTCGTGAAGTTGCCAAGATAATTTGGAACTATACGCAAAATCTCACCATGGACCGGATTCTTATCATAACCTGTAATTTCATGGTAGCACTCACAATCAGTGGCTTATTGAGAACTGGAAGAGCTCCAATTATAGTTGAAATGTTCAAATTCTTTGAATATTAAGAGTACGTAAATTCCGTCGCTCGATATCCTCATGAGCCGCAGAAAGCATGCGTTTATAAGTAAAACAGGGTTCACGTAGAAATCGCGATACGCCCCAACGTCAGAGAGGCGATGATTTGTAACATATTGCATCATCTTCACCCACTCCACATCATTGAACCCTAATACTGAGAATTTTAACTAACTCACATATGTCTCGAAAATTAAAATAAAATTGTTTTCTTTTAATTTGCCACTCCCCTTTCCCTATTGCCATGAATTTATCCGTGTATTTTACTCGGCTTGCTTTGATCTTTCTTGATATTTATTCTATTTTACTTGCTCGAAAATTGTCTCTCTTTTTCTACTAACCCTTAGATGCGCAAGCCGGGTAAAACTGATCCGAGGTTTGCTAAAAACACGTGGCCCGCGGGTTGTATGCATGGGACCGGTACATACAAGCTTTAGATATGGACGCATTTCTGCCAAACAGAAGTATGTGCATTATGGCGTGAGCCCTAATACGCATATATTCTTATAGGTCTTAAGGCTCATGTCTTGATGCACATAGTTCCGTTTGACAGAAATACGTCCATATACGTCTACAAATACACACAAAAAAATGCATACTCTTTTTCTTCCAACTACTCCTAGAGATCCCGAGCCGGGTCAAGTATACCCGACTATCTCGCCTGGGGGAGGTACATATAGCGGATGAAGAGGGGGTGAGAAAGCGTCAGTGTGTTACTAAAGAGGTAAGCATTTCAAGAGGAGTATTTCTTAAATTCAAAACCATAGAAAGAACATAAACAACCCAATCGGAAATTTGACCTTGGTACAAGCTTAGTATGACATTTTTTCACATTTGAATAGAGTTGCCAAGCTTATCTTGCTAATGTTCCCACAATGTTAGCAGGACATTTATTTTACCTCTGGGACAAGCTTGAGCCCAAAGATTGTGCCAAGGTTAGGTTTGTAAGACTGCTCCAAGCCTATCCTGACAATATTGCCACAATATTGGTGGGACATTATTTTACTTCCGAGACAAACTTGGATATTCAATATTGTGACAATGTTATGTTAATAATATTGCTCCAAGCTTGTTCAGCGGTTATTCTGATCATGATGTTGCCATAGTCTTGATGTTAAAATATTGCCATAGCATTGGCAGGATATTTATTTTACCTCTGAGACAAGCTTGGATTTCCAATCTTCCCTCTGAGGCAAGTTAGGCGATAGAACGCCGTATTACCTGCCGTCCTCGCGGAAGAAATTTCTTAGCGTCGCAATGCCTATAATGTAGGCATACGGAACATTGGAGTGCCGAGGAACCTTCCTAAGGCAGCTACTTCCTTGGCTGCTTGCACTGGCTGAAGTATTTAACGTGGATCCCACTTATAACGGGCACTGCCCAGGCGAAACGAGAACCAGCCCCATTGACGGGGCGGCCGCGCGCGGACCGTTGCCAAAAAGCTCCATTTGAGCCCTTGGCCCAAGAATATCGATAAGATGGGTTAGCCGCCTATGGATCATGTGCCTATTACGTCAAAAAGCGAAAGGTCGCAGTTTTTGCCCTTTAATTTGCCCTTAAAGGGACCGCAACGGCAGATCCGCGGCGAGCGCGCCCTGGTGGCGGAAATAGCAAACGCGGTCAAATTGTGCTCGTCCCGCACAATATTGTGTTAATCTTATGACAATATTAGAAACAGAAGCCTAAAATGTTTATT